GGTGAAGAACCACTGGAAGTGGAGCCGTGGTCTTTCATGGATTCCCTGCTGTTTGCGTTCACTGTGATTACAACGATAGGTGAGTATTGGATTTCGTAGCACTCCAGGAAATGCGCTATAGATAGTTTAAGCAGAAATCACCAACTTACATCTAATTATAAATCAAAATTCATGGCTAGCCAACAGGAGGGGCGTCGCGCGGCGAGAAGGCAGAGACGCAGACAGATCAGCGGACGAGTCGCAGCGCGTGCTGTGTGTGTCGGGGTATGGTTGTAGTATATTCTATTCAGTTTGACGAGAAACACTGCAGCTCGCGACGCGACCTGTCCGGTGACCTGCCTGCGTCTTTGCCTTGTCGACGCGCGATGCCCCTCCTGTCGGGTACCCAAAATTCACTCAGAATTTCCTAACAGAAACTCCGATGGCCTGAACGGTTTAACATATTCACTCAGCCTCGCCTTGAAGTGCGGCGTGCCAAGAAGTGCAACGCAAAGTTGACGCTACTCTATTTGAATTTTTCCATCAATATTCTAGAGCTGTTGAAATTTCAATACGCGTTCAGGTTACGGTAATGTGGCGCCCAGGTCGTTCGGTGGGCGTCTTTTTGTGATCGGCTACGGCCTAATCGGCATTCCTTTCACTTTGTTGGCGATTGCTGATCTCGGAAAGTTCCTCTCCGAGAATGATGTCCAAATGGTCAAAGGCAACTGTGAAGTTGAAAAAGTGGGTTTTTAGCCTTTTAGCCAGAAAAACATTACGGTCACGGAAAGCAACGACAAATGCTTCCCTGATTACTGATTATGTTGTGTATTTCGCTGTAAACTTGAAATATGGGCAAAGAATTGCCTATACTACGACTCTCTTCGTGTCGGGAGCGTTCACTCTCGTGGCACAAAAAATGGGTAACGTCGTCGGGTTTGGGTTCCCTTTTGGCCGCGTTCGGCGAGCGAGTTAGCGTGTTCAGCGCAAACCAACCTAAGGATCTGAAAATGTATGGCTCGCTTCTCAACCAGACTCAAGCGGAGCATTAAAGGAAGCGGTCACGCTGGCTCCCACGTAAAATTTGCTACCGCGAGGTCGCCCACTTATGTGGACGAGCTCACGGACACCGCAACCTCGTTGCTCCAGTGAGAGAGCTAACACCGGATTACGTTCAGATCGCTGCGGTTTTTTGCAGCAATCCCAGAAAGGGCATGTCCATTTGTGAGAGTTCATAGGTCTTAGACCCGCAA